ATTGTTTCCCTAATTTCACTCTCAGTGTGTCTGTTATTTGTGTAGAAGAAGGCTAATGATTTTTTAGTATTTACCTTGTATCCAGCCACTCTACTGAATCTGTCAATCAAGTCTAGAAGTCTTTTGGGGGAGTTCTTTGGGTCTTCTATGTAGAATATCATATCATCAGCAAATAATGACAGTTTCACTTCTTCCTTTCCTATCTTTACTGCTTTAATTTCTTTCTCTTGTCTAATTGCTGTGGTTAATGTTTCCAAAATTATATTGGGCAGGAGTGGTGATAGTGGGCATCTTTGCCTTGTTTCTTATTTTAGCTTGAAGGCTTTCAGTTTTTTTTCTCATTGAGTTTATTGGTACTTTTTAAGTATACAGTACAAGTACATTTATCATTGGGATCTTGTACCTTTATATGACAGATCTTGTTTCTCATTTTTCCCCTTACCCCTGCCCTCCCTTCACCCCCTGGTTTTCAATCATTTAGTATGATGTTGGATGTTGGCTTTTAATCAATAACCTTTATCAAGTTGAGATAAAGACCTTCTATTCCAACTTTCTGCAGGGTTTTTATCATGAATGGGTGTTGAACTTTGTTGAATGATTTTTGTGCATCTTTTGAAAGGATCATATGGTTTTTGTCCTTGATTCTGTTAATATAGTGTATTACATTTATTGATTTACATATGTTGAACCATCCTTGCATCCCAGGAATAAATCCAACTTATTCAGAGTGTATAATCTTCTTGATTCTGAATCCTCTGTATTCTCTTTGCCAGTATCTTATTAAGGATTTTTGCATCTATGTTCATTAGGGAGATTGGCCTGTAGTTCTCTTTTTTGGTTGGGTCTTTCTCTGGTTTTTAGAATCAAAGAAATACTTGCTTCCAGGAGTGCATCTGGAAGTATTGCTTGTCTTTCAATTTCATTGAAAATTTTAAAGAGTAGTGGCAATAGTTTTTCTCTAAATGCCTTGTAGAATTCAGTAGTAAAGCCATCAGGACCCGGGGTTTTCTTTGTTGGTAATGTTTTAATTACATTTTCAATGTCACTGATTGTAACTGACGTGTTTAGAATTTTTATACCTTCTTTGTTCAACTTTAGTAATTCATATATATCTAGAAATCTGTCCATTTCTTCTGTGTTCTTCATTTTATTAAAGCACAGTTTCTCGAAGTAGGTATTGATGATCCTCTGGATTTCTGCTGAATCCACTGTTACTTCACCATTTTCATTCCTAATTGCATGAATCTGAACCTTTTCTTTCTTTTTTTATATGGTTGGCTAAAAGTTTATTGATTCTATTTATTCGTTTGAAAAGCCAACTCTTTCATTCATTGATTTTTTTTTGTATCATTCTTTTAGTTTCCATTGAATTGATTTCTGCTCTTTCCTCTTTTGTATGAGCTTTGGGTTTCTTTTGCTCTTCTTTTTCCCAGAGTTTAAGATTCACCATTAGGTTGTTTATTTGAGCTGGCTCTGTTTTCCTAGCATGGGAATTCACTGATGTGAATTTCCCATGTAAAAGTGCATTTATTGTATCCCATAGATTCCTGCAAGTTGTACTGCATTGTCATTAAATTGTAAAAACTGTCTAATTTCTTCTTTAATTTCTGCTATGACCCATTGATTGTTCAGGAGAGTGTTAGTCAATTTCCATGCATTTTTGAAATTCTCATGGTTTTTTATGCTTTTAATTGCACTATAGTCTGATAATATACATGGGATAACTTCAATTCCTTTGCATTTACTCAAACATGTTCTAAAAGCTAGTATATGGTCTATTTTGGAAAATGACCCATGTGCAGCTGAAAAGAATGTATATTCTGATTTTGTGGGGTGGAACACTCTGTAGACATCTTCTAAGTTCATTTATTCTAAGACTTGGTTCAGTTCTAGTAGTTCATTGTTGATTTTTTTGTCTAGATGATCTGTCTATTTGTGATAGTGGGGTATTTAGGTCCTCCGCTACAATTGTATTAGTGCTTATTTGGTGTTTTATGTCCCTTAATATTTGTTTTGTGTTGTTGGGGGCATTAGTATTTGGTGCATATATATTTATGATTGTCATCTCTTCCTCTGGGATTTTTCCTTTTACAAGGAGGTAGTGACCTTCTTTGTCTCTCTTAACCAGTTTTGGCTTGAAATTTACTTTGTCTGCAAATAAGATAGCTACCCATGCTTTTTTCCAGGTTCCTGTTGCATGGAGTACTGTTTTCCATCTTTTACTTTCAGTCTATGAGTGTTTTTTTCAAGTAAGTGTGTTTCTTGTATACAGCATATTCTTGGATTTTGCTTCTTAATCCATTCTGCCAGTCTATTTCTATTTTAGAAAGATTTTTGAATCTGCTTTTGTGATTATATCCTTTTCTTCTTCTCAGTGTTCAATGTTTATCTTTTAAAAAATTGGATTCACCAGTTTTGTCTATTTATCTTCTAAACAAATGAGGATTATATTATTAATTTTAATGTGTACCTGTTATATATGCTTTTAGCTTTATTAATTATTAAATAATATGTATTTGAGTCTTACTACTCTCTATCCTTTTATTTTCATTTTCTATTTTATTGATAAAAACCACACATCTATTTTCTTCTTTGTTGAATAGGATAGGTTGAGTTTTCATTTTATTTCTGTATATTGTTGCTTTATCAATTGCTTCAACATAAAAATTATTTAGAACGTTAATATTCAAGTATAATATTTTGTCATTAATTTTTAATTTTATTGCATTACCATTCACATAATGTGCTCTTCCAAATCCTCTATTTTTGAGCTGTAAGTTCTTTGTAAGAAGCTTATTATTCATCCTGGGGTATGTAGAATAGAGAAAGGTGGTGATGTCATTAACTGGAGACCAGTTATACAAGTAGTCAGCTTGACTCCCATGTGAACAAGACAAACACGGTTCCTGCCCTCCCAGACAGTCTTCTCCAGAGGCTGTACTATGGTAAGCAGCCCTGTTGGGATCTCAGCTCATGACTCCTTATTTACATTAGAGCTCTGATTAGTTGGCTAGGGAAAAACAAATGCCAGGTTGTTGGCTCCTAGGAATCCAGAGACTCAGTGGGAGAACTTAACATCGATTACCTATCTGGTTTCTTAAGGAAATATAAGTAATTTACTTTTTCTCTAAAAATCAATCATTTCATCAAAATTAAAAGCTTACTGGGAAGCTATATTGATATTTTAAAATCTTACTCTCTTCTGAATCAATGCTTGTGTATTATCTTCATGCATTCTAGTGGCAATGCCAGGTCCTCCCCGTTCTTGGGATCCACTGACCATTGTCCCACCCTCACTCTGGCCTCCAGAATGAAGGAAACTCTGGTTTGTTGGGAAGAAACTTTACTTCATTTTCTAATTTTGTGGAGACTTTAATATATATATATATATGCAAATTCTGCCCTTACACTGGGGGTCAGGATTTTGGAAATAAAAACCAGGAAAATTTGTGGACTGGTTTTGCTTTTCTGTCATGAGCTGACTACTGACCTGAATGTGAAGAAGTGAAAGGAGAAAGTGCAGAAACAAAATCTTCAAAGATTAATGGGATCAAAAATGATTCTACTCAGAATTTTTGAGATATTCACAAATTGAGACAGTTCAGGGGCCATGTTTAATTCCTTAACCCTTGCATTAGTTGATTTATACCATGAATTTCATGATTTCCAGCATTTTTGTACTCCTCCACCAAAAGGTTCCCCCCAACTGTGTTCTTTGAACAAGAAGAAGTGGTTGTATTGCTGGACATTCTGTAAGTATTTTTCCTTGTCAGGTATATAAGTGAACAAAAATTTCCTGCTCCAGCACTCTTTACTCTCAGAGCTCATTTTTCTCTGCTCCCATCTGTAAGACTTTATCCAGATAATACACACCAACCTGCCACAGGTAACTGTGGAGGACCTGGCTGAGGAGTGAATGGTTACACTATGAAAGGACCTGCAGAGCAAAAGCACAGAAGCTCTGCAGTGCTTGTTTATGCTTAAAGAAATACCTATGGCACAGAAGTGCACGGATCTGTACATAATGTGCTGAGCATAACACAGTTGGAAAAGAAGAGGTTTAGATTAGTGAAGCAAGTTGTGTCTGGCCATTGTCCTTCCCCTTTTTTCGGTTAAACTACTTCGCTTTGATAATTTGTTTCCCAAGCTGTTCTTCTTCTGTTTTTTTCTCTTACACTGAGCCAGAGAGTTCTCAGTTCACAGCTGCTTCCTTGAGACTCTCATGTTGGATATTCTCACTGGGGCAGCCTCCTCCGGGTCTCTTGGTGTTTGGACAAAGTCTCATCTCCTAGTAATCTCTTCATCCTCTGTATGATCATGGTCACATGCAGTGGTGTGTAACTAGCCCCAGAAGTTCTCCCTGCTAAAAACAAAGGTCTGAAGTTATACTGTATGGCTCTAAGTCCCAGGTCTGTTGTTTAATAGATGTGAGATCTTGGGAAAATTATTTAATGAGAATAAATATCAAATTCTTTATCTAAAAATAAGATAATATGTATTCCTTAGGTCTGTTAAGGATGTTAAGCTCTTGCCCCAATGTTGGGCAACAGTATGCGGTGACAAATGTCATGCTCTTTCCATTGGTATCATCATGATTATCATTATCATCACCAGTAGCACAGTAACCTTCTCATCAATGCTGGTGACTGGTTTTTTGGTTGGTATCTTGCATCTCTAAGACAGAGACATACCAAAGTGCTTTCTTAGACTACTTTCTACTTACTTTCAGACCATGCTTCTCTGATCCCCTTCCTGGTGCTATTACAGAACATTCCTACAGAATTCTGAAATATAGCTGAATTTGATCCATAACTTCCTACGCTCTTTATGTAAATATTTATGTATTTGAGAAAAGACAAAGTACTGAAGTGAACACTTATGATTCATGAATGCTGAATTTAATTTAAAATATATTTCAAAGAGCTCTGCAATAGGTATATGTGTGAATATATTCATACAGTCATGTAAATTATTCTTAATTTTTAAAAAGGTTTCTAAAAAGCAACATGGAAAGAGGAAACCAAACTGTCATCTTAAAGTTCCTCCTCCTTGGTTTTCCCATTGAACCAGATCAACAAGAACTATTCTTTGCTGTTTTTCTGACCATGTATCTTATCATCGTCCTGGGGAACCTCTTTATAATCATCCTCATTGGCCTGGATTCCCACCTTCACACTCCTATGTATTTATTTCTCAGTAATTTGTCTTTCTCTGATCTCTGTTTTTCCTCTGTGACAATTCCTAATTTGTTACAGAACATGCAGAGCCACATCCCATCAATCCCCTATGCAGGCTGCCTGACTCAAATGTATTTCTTTCTGCTGTTTGCTGACCTAGAGAGCTTCCTGCTTGTGGCCATGGCCTATGACCGCTATGTGGCCATCTGCTTCCCCCTGCACTACACCAGCATCATGAACCCTAAGCTCTGTTTCCTCCTGGTGGCTCTGCCCTGGGTGCTGACCACAGTCATCTCTTTGCTGCACACACTGCTGATGGCTCGACTGTCTTTTTGTGCTGATAATGTGATTCCCCACTTTTTCTGTGACATGTCTGCTTTGTTAAAGTTGGCCTGCTCTGACATTCAGATAAACGAAATGGTGATATTTATCTTGGGAGGACTTGTCATTATTGTTCCATTCCTGTTGATCTTTTCATCCTATGCATGGATTGTATCTGCCATTTTCAAGGGCTCTTCTGCCAGAGGTATCCGCAAGGCCTTCTCCACCTGTGGCTCCCACCTCTCTGTGGTGTCTCTCTTCTATGGGACAATCATTGGCCTCTATTTGTGTCCTTCGGCTAACACTTCTACTCTGAAGGAGACTGTCATGGCTGTGATGTACACGGTGGTGACCCCTATGCTGAACCCCTTCATTTACAGTTTGAGGAATCAGGACATAAAGGGAGCTATAGGAAGGATCTTTTCAAAATGGACAATTCACTCTTCTCTGAGACAATGATTTTTAAAGATAAAAGTGTTTTTAAACAGTAGGCATACCATTAAAAGTCAGGAGTATTCTGAATAGTGAAGCAACACTCAAATGCGGTACCACTAGTACAGTCCCCATAGCACCTCCAGGGGCGTTTTCGCAAGTTTTTCTAGGGAAAAGTTCAGTCCATTGTGCCTCTTGACTGACCCTTGAATTCAGGTATGATGGAACCCGAAGCTTGACATATCATGCATTCTCATTAATTTTTTGAAGCTTGAATAAATGCCACTCTAACACCAATATCAATAGAACTCAAAGAATACATAGTAGTTTCTAATTCCCTAAGGAACAAATTCAATACTGTATTCCTAAAATGTACCAATAAACTCAATTAATGCTGGAAAAAAAAAGAAACAAATTCAAATTCCTCAGCCACCTCAGTACTTTGCTTGTGGCAAACATATTCAATCGATGAGGATGATCTTCCAATTTATTATATATGTGCTCTTGTAATTTGTCATTCCCTTGGATCACTTCCCCTCTTACCAGTCCCTTCAGTTCTTAATTTTCTTTTCATGTGTTTATTATTTACCTACTTAACAATCACATTCTAAATTTCTCTTTCTTTCTGAATTAACTGGGCCAATCCTTCATCAGCTGGTGATGAACCACTTTTTTTGACAGTATGTATACTTTGCAGGTGAATTCCTCTTTTGAATTAAAATTGTATGATCTAGGATGTACTGCAGAGTTCTGTTATACATTGTTTAGTTTACATACAATGAAATGGTGACCCAGGGTAGAGTAGAATTTAAGTAGTGACAGAAGGACTAGAATCTAATTGCAATTCTTAGGTTAAGTATTCCCCCACCCCAGGAATATTATTCTGAAATCATTTGTTGTTTTCTTTATTTCTGTTATTACCAATGTACTGTAAGTATCTTGAAGACAGGTATTCTCTAATCTCTACTATGCCTACTTCAGTACTTTGTATATTTAATCTGAATATATAATAAATATTCATTTATTTGATTTGAATGTGTTTTCAAGTTCACTGAAATAAATTTATGCCTTTAAAAGTTCCACTTTTTAAAAGAAACCTTCCTAGTAATGCCAATGTTGACTTTATTTCCTTTTCAAATTGTTTTTATCAACTATTAGAGTAGTACTCACTTGAAAATATCCAAACACCAAGGAAATAAAGCAGAACATGAAAGTACAACATATTTCTCACTCCTTTCCCCATTAAGGTAGTTAAAAGTTGGGAAATATTATCTCAGATATTTCCCATACACAGATTAATATATATAATAATTAATAAAGCTTATTTATGAATTCTCTCATCTCATTGTTTTTACTTAAAATGTACTGTGAATTCACTAGTTTATATAAGGCCATGTAACACTCGTAGAAGCTAAACAGAGTATTACTGAATTGACCCACTTAGCATAATTTATTTAAATAATTTTCTCTTGATGGAAGTTTTTTTAATTTTTGGAATAATTCTTCAGTTTTATATATTAGTCCATATATTCTTGTGGACTTGTCCTATTTTTTAAATTAAAATTGTATAATCTCAAAAGCATACTAGATCAAAGGATATGAAAATTTAAAAATTGAACAGGAATTGCCAAATTGTCTCCAAAGAAGTACTTCTATTGTAAACACCTTCTGAGAGTAAGCAAGACTGGCCTCTCCTTTAGTGTCTCAAACACTGGATATTTTGCTTTCAAAATATTTATCCTCCTCATGCCTAAAATATGAGATTTTACTCTTTTTTAAGTTTCTATGTGTAGCAGTGACAGCTATCTCTTTATATTTATTAACCACTTTTCCTTTGTGTGTTATTCTGTCTTGATTCAATTTTTCTTATGAGAGATACTATTACTTTGTGTATTGTAGGGAGGACATTTCCCTCAGCTTGTTATTCATGATCTGAATTTTGTAACGGTATATTTTTCCTTAACTAAAGATTTAAAATTTTGAGATAGACAAAGAAGTTGGTTTACATTTTCTGATATAATTTTTCTTCAGACATGCTTAGAAAGAGCTTTTCAATCCATAATTATATTGTTCCATTTTTCTCTAGTGTATACACAGTTTTAGTGTCTACATCTCTATCTCTGATCTACTTGAATTTAGTTTACCAACAGTCAGCCTCTTTCTCCTCTCACTTTCCCCAGCAGGTCAGCTGTTCCAGCACTCACTGATTTAAAAATGCTATCCTTAGAATGTCCTAGGTGCTCCTATACACTTGAGCTTATTTCTGGATACTATTATTTCAATTCATTCTATTTTTGTACTAGTTCTATATAAAACAAACCTCTATAGTCGCACATATCAAATATTGGTATGACAACCCCTCCTCAATACTATCTTCCAAAATTTTCCTAATGATTTTTTCTTTCAGAGATGATTATGGTTCACTTTGTTGAATTCTTTTTTTTCAGCTTTAATTGAGTTTCTTGGTACATTTTAGGGATACAGTACAGTTACATTCATTGTTGGGATCTTCTACCTTTACATGACAGGTCTTGGTTCTCATTTTTTCCCCTTGTCCCTGCCCTCCCTTCACCCCCTCCTCCCCTCCCCATCTACAAACACTTTATTTCCATCTTTTCATTCTCACATTTTTTCTTTTCCCTTATTATCCTTCCCCTACCCATCCCACCTTCCCTACACCTTTAGCTCCTTTCTTCCCATTTCTCAATGTTAGTAATCTTATTAGGATCTTCTGTATTATTGCAGATTATTCACACCAGAGAAACTATTCAGTGTTTACACATGTGTGCCTTATTTATTTCACTTAGGAGTACATCTTCAATATGTATCCATTTTCCTATGAATGAATCTATTTTCTCATTCTTCATGGCTGAGTAATAGTCCATTTTATAGAAAAACCACATCTTCTTTATCCAGTTTCCAACTGATGGGCAAATAGGCTGTTTCCAAGTTTTTGCTACTACAAACTGTGCCGCTATAAACATGGGTGCACATACTTCTCTGTGATATGATTCTTTTGGAAAGATACCCAGCAGAGGGATGGCTGGGTCAAATGGAATCTCCAGTCCAAGCTCTTTGAGGTATCTCCATATTGATTTCCATAGTGGTTGCACCAGTCTGCACTCCCACCAACAATGGAGAAGGGTTCCTTTCTCTTCACAACCCCGCCAACATTTGTTATTGTGTGATTTCTTGATAGCAGCCATTCTTTGTGGGGTGAGGTGGAAGCAGCAAGTAAACACATGAAAAAATGTTCCACATCACTGGTCATTCGAGAGATGCAGAAGAAAACAACACTGAGATTCCACCTCACTTTGTTGAATTCTAATAAGAATTGTTAAGAAATTACTTTGCAATCATATTATATACTGGAATTGCATGAAATTATAGATTTATTAAAGAAAGTTGGCTATACAGTTGTCTAACAAGATATAAACAGTATCATTCAGTTAAAAAATTTCCTTGTTGAATTATATATACTTCTTAGGTACTTTACATTTGTGAAAAGGATCATTGTATTTTTGATAGATTATTTTTGTATATAAAGTTATTGATTGCTTTGCATAACAATTTTGGAACAATCCACCTTACTGTATTGTCTTACAGTTTCTAAGAAGGATTTTCTGTTAAATATCTTGAGTATTGGAGATACACAGAGAAAGCTAAAATAAATATTGATAATTGTGCATACTCCTTTTAAGTACTTACTTAAATCATTTTTTTTCTCTTCTAACTGCATCAAACATCACTTCAGGAATAATATAAAATAAATGTTTAAATGTGAACGTGGATGCCTGTTTTGGTCCTCCAATTCCAGGGTGAAGGCATGGTAGAACCCTGCAGGTAGTTTTGGGTACTGAAAAGCATGAGTTCACATCACATGTCCGGTGGTACTCCAGGTAGAGGATGCTTTTCAGAAGATCTGGCCACCACATGATGAAGCCACAGCATGGCAGCATTGGTCCCAGAAGCCAACATAAAAAAGGGACCCTGTGGCAACAGTTAACAGCACAGCCCAGACCCAGATGGAAGACAGCTGAGTCTAAGAAAATCAGCAGGTAACTGAGGCCTGTGAAGGCCATCAGCTCCCGCCTAAAATGAACAGTCATAGATTGCATATGCTAAGAGAAGAGACATCAAATTCCCAACTGTGGGCATCAGCTGATGCCTCTTTTCTGAAGTCAAGATGATATATAGGCTTCAGAATCAAGTAGAAGTACCACAAAAGTCAACACAAAGACAAAAAGAAGGAATCAATAATTATGAAAATGAAAGCAAATCAATGGAGTTGAAAACCAAGGAACAATAGAGTTAACATCAGCTAAGCTAAATATTGTTTTAGAAAGATTGTTATAACTTATACAACTTTGGCCTGCAAAATGAGACAACACAGAGAAAAAGCATAAATAAAGAATTCTGGGAATAAAAAAGGAGTGAAATAAACAGCAAAAGGGGACCTTAGAGAATTAAAAGTGGGCAGAAGAGAGGGAGGGTAAAGGGAAGCTGGATTTGCTTAGTGCATACTGCATGCATGTACTGAAATATCACACTGAACCCTATTAACATGCACAGCTAACACACATTAATAAAAACTTTAAAATAAAACAGGGAAAATAAACAGCAACAACTAAAAAATAATAAGATTAAATAAAAAAGAAAAGAAAAATGTGGACCTAACTATGTTCTAGGAACTTATATATTATTAAAGGTTGTTCAATAAATGAGTAAGATTGAATAGGCCATAAACCATTGAAAAACAGGTTTGTTAGACCTATGACTTTGGGACAGCTACTCAGTTTCTTCCAGTTTGTTTTCTCTCTTATACAGTGAGAATAATGGTGTCTCCCTCAAGGAATCTTCTGTTTGAGTGAGATATACACATGGAGAACCTAGGACACGGCTTGCTACAAATGGTTCCCCCCTTAATGCTAGCCTTTATTATTTTAATTGCAAGGATATCCATTATATCCTTATGAGTGAAAAACTGTAAAAAACAGATTTTAAGAAATATTTATTAAAATTTATCAATCAGAGAAATAACCCATGGAAGATTTACACTCTAAAATTTTATAGTACAAAGTTAAGAACGTGCTCCCCCCATTACCAGGGATCGTATTTGTACAGAGAAAACAAGATCTCCTAGATGTCTTGTTTTATGTAAAAAGCCAAAGGAAAACCAAAACATAGCAGAATAATGTATATACATTGATACTGTGTTTTAAAGTGAAAAAGGGATCTACCTGGCAACTTTGATGGCAGTGAAAGTTGCTGCTGATGGGTAAGGGACAATTTTATCTGCATCCTTATTTTTGAATATTCATGGTGAAAATAATGGAAATGGTGTCTGTGGGATAGCATTTGCAAATTTAAAGCCACTTTAAAAATGACTAGATCAGGGCGGGTGATTTAGTTTAGTAGTGCCGCGCCTGCCTGGCAAGCACAGGGTCCTAAGTTCGATTCCCGGTACCTAAACAAAACAAAAACTAGATCTTTCTGAAGTCTGCTAGGGAGGAGTCTGAGGGCAGCAGGCGACATCACACTAAACTTCCTCAAAGCCCTGTTCTGTCCTCCATGCTTTGTAGGGCTCCTCTCCAGCCTCCCTGTGCCGCTAGCCATGTATTTCCTTCTCTCTCTCCACAAACAAGACTTTCCTCGCCTCCATTTGTTTTTCCCAGTTTTAAAGTAGATTCTTTTTCAAACATTCAGACAACGCAGAGACGAACTTACCCATCTGCTGCGTACCCACCACTATAACAAAACACGTTGTCCTATTTGCTTTTCCTCTAATTTATTTTTTATTGAACAAGAAATATGAGGCCACAAGGTCAAAACTGATATCGCTTTGGAAAACTGAAAAAGAAAAGGGGTGAGGGGAAGGGTTTGGGGGTTATTGAAACGCTAGTGAATCCCGCCTAACCTTACACTTCTTGGAGTGCTGCTCTCCGCCTGAGCCCCCTTTTCAGAGCTCCCTTGACCTCTTTGTTGCGAAGACTGTAGATAAAAGGGTTCAAGGTCGGTGTGACCACTGCATAGACCACACTAGTCAGGCAGTCGTAGCGCGCAGAATAGGCAGAGGACGGCCGGAAATAGACCGAGAGCACAGAGCCAAAGAAAAGCGACACCACCACCAGGTGGGCACCGCAGGTGGAGAAGGCGCGGCGCCGGCCCCCTGCTGACCGCACTCGGAGTACGGCGACCAGGCCTTGCGCGTAGGACAGGGACACGAGGAGCAGCGGGGCCAGCACCACCGCTAGGCCCTCGGAGAAGACGACAGTCTCCGCGGCAGACGTGTCCGAGGTGGCCAAGCTCAGCATCACCGTCATGTCGCAAAAAAAGTGGCGCACCGGGGCGCGGGGCGGGTAGGAGAGCGCGGAGATGAGCAGCGTGTGTAGCAGCGAGTGC